GTGTGTGTGTGTGTGTGGTGTTGTGTGTGTGTTGTGTGTGTGTGGCGTGTGTGTGTGTGTGTGTGTGGTCCATCCAAGACATATCCACGAAGATTGTGACCGTAGGAGTGTGTGTGGTGTGTGTGTGGTGTGTGTGTGTGTTGTGTTGTGTGTGTGGTGTGTGTGTGGTGTGTGTTGGTGTGTGTGTTGTGTGTGTGTGTTGTGTGTGTGTGGTGTGTCCCAAAAATTTCCACACACATCACGAGAAATTACTGTCTTTGCTTCACTCAGTCAGCAGTGAGTCGACAGCATCTGCCCTCCCAGTTACAGGTGTCCAATTAGAACCGATTTAGCGTTGCTGTATACCTCGTGCGGGTGGTCTGTTGGCGTGTATATGGTGTTGAAACAGACAAACAGCCATGTATTGCGTACATTATTACCATAATATCACATAATCTTGCTCTATCACATAATAGGTAATTGAGCGTCCCGTCGACCCACCTTCACCTTTAATTTTTGGACTTCCAGGTGTCAGGTTGCTAACTCCAGTAGAGGTGGAGTCTGTGAGAAAACAAAGAGAGTCTTTTCTTTTCCTTTTGAAGGGTTAGAAAGTTTACTTAAGGAGCACAAAAATAACTCTCTTATTTCGGTCCGTCTTCGAAGAGTTATAACTGCTGCGAAAAGTAACAGTCACGGTTTTTGGATGCTAACACTCCCCATGGTCGTCTGGTAAAAGTGGAAAGTAAATGTGTGAACTGACTGAGGGAAGAAGAATCCCGCGGCACAACAAGGTGCGAGCTTATTCAAGTCGTGCGGTTTAATTAAGTGATTAGCGGGAGGGAGGCACCTCCAAAACGGTTGTAGCGTTAACAATTAACTCCCATGTGCTCTGAACACTGTTCGCTACCTTATACCGATCATTTGGTCAACACATATACGTCATATACTGCGCCCACTACTTCCGAATTTTTCTGCGACCGACTCCGAGATTTGTGGAAGCCCGGACTCCCGACTCGACGCTGACAGAGCAACTAAAAAGAATTTTCGCGACTTTCTGAAATGAGAAGAAGGTGCGGTCCCGCGGACTGTCACCTACCGGCTGGACGAGGACAGAGACGAAGGTAAAGAACGAGAGACAAGAAAGTCTAATCCCTTTAACTGAAGTTTATCTACTCGGCCGCTTAGAAAACACTAATGCTCAACGTTAGTCGCGGCCGTGCATGTACGTTACAATTGCTCTGTCCTCTTCCTCTATGTGTGTGTGTGTGTGTGTGTGTGTGTGTGTGTGTGTGTGTGTGTGTGTGTGTGACAAGCAGGTAGTGTGTGTGTTCCTTTCCTATGCTGACAACATCCTCCTTCTCAGTGTCACTATTAATTGGGCTTAGCCGGCATTACGTCTATCACAAGCGCTATCCAAACAAACACAGGTTTCATTAGGTCAAAGATTAAGAATCTGGAAGTTACTTACGAGTCAGCGGCTGTCAAGAGCTCTCTTTCTTACCGTTGAACTCTTTGTTTAAAAGATGATAGAAACTAAAGGATACACTCCAGACAACTTTTACGTCTGGTTTTCAAAACAAGTAAATGAAAACTTGTGTATTTACTTAACTAGAATTTCTTGAAGGGCCCCTATTATGGTTTGTGCATGTAAATGGTATGCAAAGGATTAAATCCCAAAGTTCAGACCTGAGGGAGTTTCTCTCCCACACACTCCCCCTCCAAAACATGTCACACAAAACAAATATGAAACCTGAACATTTGCATAATATGGCCTCTTTAAAAACACATTACAATAATTTGGAGAAAGTCTTATCCCAGTGCTCTTATCTTCACACCTTAAACGTATAGACTGAAGCTCGTACTTTCCTTGAGTAAACCTTAAAAACTGCAGTTTTCTAAATTAGGAATTAAGGATTCAAATATGCATATGTTTTTTTCAAACTTTAAAAGACAAATGTGATTTCCAAAGGTCATTAAACTTGGTAAAGACTGCATAGACTTAAGATACAAGACAGTTTTGAAAATTATTCATCACGACAGCTTGGCAAAAGTTGCTTTACTTTGAGCTGTATATATTATACTTTGTATCAGTCGTGCTGATTGTTTTTTGTCACTTCTTTCATGGATTTATGTAAATGATTTGACACCTCTCCAAAGCTTTGTGTTTTGTTTGATGGAGTTGCAGTCTCAGCATTAATTGTCACGAGTCGTAGGACAAAAGCGGCGCGGCGTTGAGGCTTGGGATCGGGTACAGTTGCGTTGGACGTCCCTCAAAGCCGAGCCGTTGGAGTCTTTGTAAAGAAGAGTTAGTGCGACTCTGAGAGAGTGCGGAGTCTTTTGCTTTTGTTTCATGTGCTCCTTCTGTCAAGTACCTCCAAGTCAGTCAAATGCAGATTCCCCAGGATGTGAGGGATAGAAAGAAGAAGACATGTGCCCTAACTTGAGATAACTGATCGGGGATGACAGTTGCACTGAGCTATGAGAAGGGGAAATGGAGAGAATAAAGGGAAGATTGGTGGAGGTGATAATGAAGGGTGTTTGCCAGCTCCTCCTCCACCTCCTTCTCATTTATCTCTCTCTCATTTTGTTTATTTCCGTCTTCAAGTTTTGGTCCATTTTGAGTAACTGATGTCTTCTCTCCTCCTTACCTTTCAGGAGCAGGACGGCACTAAGCGGAGCTCTTTGAGTCCTTACCCCCAGCACAATGCTACCTCACCAGGCAAAGAGGATGGTGGCGGAGGCGGGCGGCCCTGCAGCGACGGAAGCTTAGCCACAGGTACCCTCGGGACCCCAGAGAGACGCAAGGGCAGCCTGGCAGACGTTGTGGACACACTGAAGCAGCGCAAGATGGAGGAGCTGATCAAGAACGAGCCAGAAGGTCAGTGATGAAAGGGGACGCTTGTGCGGCCAGATGTGTGATCTGCTGCTCCCGCCGTCTCCCTGGCTCTGAGCCACTCTTTTATCACACTCTGTTGTCCTTTCTCTCTTCTTCTTCTTCTCTGTCTTGCTTTCTCTCTATCGCTCTCATGCTCTGTTATGAACCCACACACATTCAGACGAGAGGCGAGCCTTTGTTTTCCAGCACACAGACAGACAGCATCAGCTGTTAGCGCCTATTGTCCACCACGCTTTGCATATCTACCACAACTTGACAAATAAGATGTGTGCATGCATGTGAGTGTGTGAGAACCTTTCGTTCCACTCGCATTACCTTTCCTCTGAATGACCAGTGATTGTTTAACGCACCTTACCTGCTACCTTTGTAACCTTTGGGATTACACCGTCTCAGCCCTCAGATAAAGGAAGAGACAAACGATTGAAGACACTAAACCAGACTCTTTGCTCAGGGCTACATAGCTTAGCTCAATTAGCCCCGACATTTCATTCACACATTTAGCCTTGGGCTAACAGTTTGGAGTCAAGAGATATAATTAGCCCGTGGCCATCTCTAATTTCTCATTGGGCAGATAAAGAGGGGCTTAAGTCACTGTGAAATGCATGTGATAGTGATAATGTGATAAAGAGATTACAGACAGGTGTCCTTCTAATGAGATTATATAAATAACAATGGTGGATATGAATTTCGTGGGCAACAAAGGGAGGTCTGTGTGAGACAGCAAGAGAAAAATGATGTAAACATGTTGTAAAAGAAACCCAGAGAAAAAGTAAAACCGTGAAAATGGGAATTAAAGGCCCGCTTGAAGCGAAAGCAGACCAGAGGTTTTCATTGGTCCAAAGTGTCTGAAAGTTTGGGAAAACCGACCAAACGAAAAAGATCTGACCCCAAATAAGGTTTAGCCCTTTATGGCAGGTGTATGTTATAAAAACTAAATATTTTCATAAATACTTTTCTCTTGCTTCTAAATCCACCACTGCTGTGCCTGGGATTTCTATTCAAACAGCTCTGAACTGTAGGCAGCCTGTACGACACCATGCCCAAAAGGTGAAAGAACAGTGCAGCAGAGCAGTGTGTGTTTGTCTTTTGAGTGTTCATGTGTCGGTGTGTGTTCCAGACAGTACATCAACAGGCTTTCATTTCAAGCTGCGATGTGCTAACCTTATTTTCCAGACTCCTCTATAAGGCTTTCAAAGCGGTCGAAACTCTCGCCGTCTGCTTGTTTTTACTCCTTTCAATAGAGAGGCCTGTTGTGGCCCATGTTACAACAAAAAAAGAAAAAGTAGGTTGTTTGTCGAGCTGAGCTGTAATTGAGGTGTGTTTTGGGTTGTCCGCTGATTCACTGGACCTCGTGAACTGGCTGCACGGGGGGAAAAAAAGCAATAATGGAGCTTTATGGAGTTAGCCAGCGCAGACACAGAGAGAGAGAGAGAGAGAGAGGGAGGGAGGGAGATGTAAAGGAAGGAGGAGGAGGAGGAGTAGAGTGAAGGAGAGGGAGAGCAGTGTCTTCACAGACCCCATTAGCGGAGTGCCACAGTGGTGCGGCATCCAAACCAACCGCGAGCATTATCTGCCCTACGTTTAAATGAAACGCGCTAACAAAAGGCCCCAGCGCCTCCACACACACACACACACACACACACACACACACACACACACACACACACACACACACACACACACACACTCAAAAGCCCAGGCCAAGCAACAGAGAAAGGAAGAAGAAAGAGAGTAAAGGAAGAAAAGGGATGCTGAGAAAAGATGAAGAGAGGCAGAGGGAAATGGAGAGGGGGGGGGAGAGTTAGAGAAACGACGAGGGGCGGTATTGAGCGCGAGATAGAAATCCCTTTTCTGTGCCCAGCTAGCTATTGTTTGGCTGCGTGGCTCACAAAGGCCATTAGCACCAAACAGCAGGTTGGGATGAAAATGTAATGAAGGCTTTAATCATTATGAAAGGCCTGGAATATTACTGCTCCCTCTCTCTCCCTGTGTTACACACACTGCTTCCAGCTGGATCAATGACACACACACATCCAGAGTGTAGGAGCATTAACACTAGCAGGGATGTGAACAAGGGGCAAAAGACAAAATAGGTCAGTAAACTATAAACATCTCGGAACAGAGTAAGAAGCTTAACTTGTCGAAGGCAGGCCCTGAGCTAAAGATCACACACACACTCACTCAGTCACACACACACTCACTCAGTCACACAAGTATGGCTTGAGTTTGAAAGATATATTTCTGTGTTGTGGCTAGTGCTGCTCTACTTAGGCTAGATGAATGGAGAGTGGTAGATACTAGGTCAGTGTGTGTGTGAGTGTGCGTGTGCTGTTTAAGCCTTTGGGAGCATGTACACTTGTGTTTGTGTATTTGCATATATATTTGTGACATAGCACGTGTGTGTGTGTCATGGGAAGGATTGCATTAGTCGGCATGCATGCAAGGTGCGCGCACAAGGTGTGTGTGTATGTGTTGTTCCCTAATAAATGACTAGCCATGTTGTCCCCCATGGCCTGGCCCAACCATGCTCCACCGCTCTCCTGCTCTCTCCATTCATCTCCTGTCTTACTCCACCGGCCACCTGCTACCCTGGAGATACACACTCACTGTCTCACACACACACACACACACACACACACACACACACACACACACACACACACACACACACACACACACACACACACACACACACACACGGTACAAATACGTGTAGACACACACACACACACACACACACACACACACACACACACACACACACACACACACACACACACACACGATAAACATCAACAATGGCATATACAATCCTTGCAAGTCATCACATGGACCTGTGACTTTTAAGCACATATCCCTAAGGGGAATTTGAAGACTGCAACACACACACACACACACTCACAAACACACACATACAGCAGCGGGTTCACAGCACTAGCGTGGGAGCGAGAGAACGTCTTTATGTGATTTCCACCCTTTGTCGGTAATTAGTTAGTTGTATAAATTAACATGAAGTGCAGCAGGACTCTCTCAGCCATTGTTTGTCGCGATCATTCTTCTCGCGCTGGGAAAAGGAAAGGCGAATGAAATGAAACAGAGGGGGAGGTTAAAAGAGAGAATTGTTTTTTTGATTCACTACAAGCGAAAAGGAAAGTTCAGCTGGGCCAGGAAAAGCAAGATCTTGTCCCGTTCGCCAATTAAAGGGCTCTAATACAACACTAGTTGACACCATAATTATGAGACTAACCACCTTGAACCTCCTACTGAAGGAGATTTGAACTCATTTCAATGATAAAAATCCAACATGTTTTGCTCCGTAGGATCACCGTAATGGAAAAAAAATGTTTACGTTATGCCAATAAAACTCAATGTAAAGCACACTAAGAACTTTATGTTGCTTGTCAAAGAAAAACAGTTGTATCAAACATTCCTTCCAGTTAGCGGAGCGTCATTGTGTCAGTTAACTTCACTGCGTTTGTAAAAGATGGAAGGAG